GCCCTTCCCAAGAACACGCGGATCGAAAACATTTCTCTATCATTCTAAGTTTTAAATGCAAATGTACGAGGAAATCTATGATACATGAAATATAGGTAATAGGTGCATAGAATTCCGGGGTTGTGAGCGTAAAAGTGTACTAACATTAAACATTTTTGATACATCCTCCCCTATCCCTTACAATCACCAACCCCACTGTTTAACCCCCACAATTTTTTTCTAAAAATGGTCAGCGTCATCTGAAGCGCCAAAAAACCAAGATTGAGCGATTTTTATTTTGTTTTTACCCTTGGGTCCGCCGGCATTAACCGATTTTCAAAAACTATAAACCTTTTGGTCCTTGGCATAGTAGTGCCTTTGTGTAGAAATTTCATCTAAATCAGAACGGTACTTCTCAAGTTATAGACGGTCCAAGGATTGGCGGACAGACAGATTGATGGAAATGAGTGACATGGTTTTTCGTGTCGTATAACATCCAAATAACAATATCTCATTTGCGAAATTTTTTCAATTACAATATTTAACTCGCCCTGAGCCGTAGGATGTAAAAGGTAGGGGTCCAAAAGATTTAAAAGCATGGAAAACGCAATCTTGCACTAGTTTATCAATGGAAGTTAAAATTGTCGTGTATCTAAAATTTTGAATAATTTTTATCATCAGACCTGAGGGACTTCTTCAATTACAAGACTTTAACCAAGAACAAAGATCCTACACACTGCACTGACAGACAATTACGAATAGAGAGAATGTCCGAAAAGCATTATACGTTTTGAAATCACAAACTTTCAATTGTTTACTAATTTGTGATCTTCACGCTTAGTAAAAAAAATCGGAGGGGTAGAAGTTTTTCGACTATTCCTGGACACCTTTAGGATAACAGCCCGTCAAATACAGCGAATGAGCTTCAAGTTCCAATCAACAAATTTTAGCAACCAATAACTATAAAATGTTGAAAACAAAATACTGTCAAAGTATGAGATGACATCTTGTCATTGAACCATCATCAGCTTATTGAATATTAAGAAATTACATATAATTCAGTCAAAATTTAAAAAAATGTTTGATTTTTGAATAAAATTAATGTTTTAATTACCATTGTTGATTTTTTATTCATGATAATATTATTTTCTTCAATTGATATGCGATTTTACTGATTCAAGATCATCTACTGGGTGTTTTTTCCTATAAACCTGTTGCAGATAGCCGTTAAGCACCTACTTGATGACTGGCTCTACCAAAAAGTTCATAGATATTGCTCGTTTCCAAACATTCATTCATTTACTTGCCGTTCATCAGAAGCATTATGGCACCTTCCATTGATATTCCCACAAAACCATTCTGGTTTTTTAATATCCATACATCCATAAAGTTGAATATTTTCCGTTGTTCAGGAACTTAACAAACATGCACACTAAATTCACAGCGATCAACAAATACTCAAACATATGTCGTAAACCTCCCGGCAAACTTAAAACCTGCAGAAAAACTAGAAATTTGCAATAACTTTCTTGTTGCACTGAGTACATATTCTGGGTTATATTTATATTAGACGTTATTTGAATCGCAAAACATATACACTGATTTGAATAACAGCTGATTATCTCCTGATATTTTAAAACTAACCATACCGACAAGTGACACATAATTCTGTGGCATCCGTCAACACTTCGTCCCAGTGCCCCCAGTGGAGCAAACTCTGCCAACTGTCGAAATAAACTTTATTAATTCCAAGTCTTATTTTTGTTTTACTGTGCCTGCTTAGATATTCAAATACGGCCAGGAATTATTAGCGCCTGGCTATTTTAGGCCTTCAATAACTCCTTATTTTAGATCTCTCCTTATTTTGTTTTTTCCACGCATTCATGGTAGAAAGAAAAATATGTTATCGAATATCGATACCGTATACCGTGCAGCAGGCACGCCCATCACTACTTTGACAGATTGCAGAATGATGTCAAGGTGACAATCGTTATGTGTTTTTGTTTTTGTCTGAAATAGGCAAGTAGGCTTTGTGTATTCATTTTTATTTTTATAGCGTTTCCAGAATTTCATATTTCGAAACGATGTCAACGGCCGGCAGAGGAAAATCTTTCTCTATCGTCGCCATCCCTATATTGTATCCCCACCAGTCACCAGTCAAAAACCTTAACCACCAATATTTTATCACAATTTATAATTCTTTTTAGCTCTTATTTTTCAGTAATTACTAATAATTTTAGGTCTATGTCTACAGTAATTGCATTATGCACCTCGGAGCTGTAGGGATTAACATGTTTTACACATATCGGTGTTTTAGGATGGGGAAGACCATACTGTTTTGATTGCTTTGAAGAAATTCATTAACCCATGAATTTATAACAAATGATTACTATTATGATGTAAAGAGAGATGAGGAATTGGTTGGAATACATTTTATATTCTATTTTCTTGCAAATCCGCACAATTCAACAGGTATGTGTTGCTATAATGATCTCATAATATACACACAGTATATTGAATTTAACAAATTTCGAGATTGCCATGAATTAACAAACGACCAAACCTGCTGCCAAATTTAACAGCTAGAAAATCGACCTATTATTTCTCCCATTCCCATTCGCTGAGGGGATAACGGATTGTTAAATGTAAATCTATAACATATATCAAAATACATGAAAGTTGTCCTGTTTTTTCTGTACAAAAGCATCATGTTGGAATCAAAAAGTGGTCTTGTTTATAATACAGTCGAATTTTTACGATTTTATTCAACATTTTAATAGAAATCACTGATATTCTGACACCTTTGACAGCTTCCGTCAAATTGCATTTCGATAAGGTATTTTCCTATTGGTCCATAATAATAATGTTGGTGAAATCGGCCCTAGGAGTCCGAACTAACATTAAAAGTTCAGTAGTAGAAGAAAGAACGTCTAAAGTCACTTTCCGCTTTATTCATGGCGTGTGGGAACGCCAACCAACACAAATGATTTTACACATGTTTCTTGTATATCAGACGAGTTTCCACGTGAAAAAACGCGTGTCTGGCGAGCTATAGTACACTTGACTTCTTTTTTATAAATAGTGGGAACAATACTTTTCTGTGTGGTCAGATCTTCACTCGTTTTTTTCCTAATTACGGTCCTGGTCGCTGGCAACAGCAGCACAGGCAGCAGAGGCACCACATGCCCCGATGAATGATGGGTTGTTTGGGTTAACCAATAAATCCATCAGCGCTGTAATTTGTGGGGGGAAGGGGCATATGGAGTGTCTTCTTAACGATATGTTTTCAAAGATAGTTACGTGTATAAACTGCTGTTCAACAAATGTTCACCGATGAAAAATTTACTTGTTGCTGATTGAATGTTGTATGTTTCCACGGAAAATTGGTCATGACCAGGAATGCGCAGGATGCTGAGTCAACTCTAATAAGGTTCTAATGGATGTATTTATGGGTTTGTATTTCGGTGCTGAGAAAGCATTCTCGAGAAAGAAACATGGCCCCGGTATTATCGACACTTCGCCGGCGAGTTCCGAGATAACGCAAATGTACATACCTATACCCTTATCGTATACCATTCAAGTAGAACAGGTGAACTTACTGTGTGAATATTTTTTCGACGCACTTAGCCCAACAAAAAATTGAGATATATACCTAAGATTGAAATGGGTTTACGTCGCGCCGTTGATTAACGTCCTCTGCCTGATGATAGTCAACCTAAAATTGTATTTCGGCGTTCAAAAAATTAGCTATAGCGACGTCTATATGACACTAATCTTGCTAGATTTTTATTTATTGGGAAGAAGAGAAACGTGGGACAAATTTTTATAGATGACGCTACGGTTATCTTATCTGGGATAATTTTATGGATACCGAAATATAGTTTTAGGTTGGATATCATCAGGTAGGATACCTTAATCTACGGTTCCACGGATATATAAACGAAGGTAATACTGTGATCTCGAGAATCTTCCAATTTTAGATAATTTTTTTCTATTTTTCTTGCCGTGTATTTCACAAAAATCAGGCCACTTATTTCCGTCGGTTTGTTTGTCGATCTCTCTGTCTATTGGCGTTATTCTAACCGTGTGATGTAAAGAACGGATGCAACTGTTTTTATAAAATTTGGATAGTGATATGCTGTGAGATCATAGCAAGCAATAGATTTTTCCAAACTTCGTTTTTATGCGTTATGTCAGATAGTGTTAGACGCCTAAAGAAATTTGAACCGCTCAAATTATGGCAAAATCGTCAACGTTTTTTAAAATCCTCGGGTGAGGTAAATTTTGTAGGGGGGGGGGAGTTGAAAAAATTCTAAAATTTATCAAGGTTCGTGTTTTGGAATGTTTGTATCAATAATAAATAATAATACTTCAACAGCATTTATGTCTCCAGTGTCTTTAAGTTATCCAGTGTCTTTATGTTTTGTGTATCGGAGATTCAAAAATGGACGTAAATGAATGTGTAGGAAATATCGAGTTAATCGCCCATTGCATGGCACAAATAATGATTCTGAATTCTGATTTATTGATGAGACGCTTTATCGTAGCGTCCAAATCAATTTTATGGTATGTGATAGATATTCATAGAAGTAGAAAATAATGACTATGATAAATGTATAGGTATGCGCCTGTCTGGGCAGTAATGTGAGTTTGATGAGGTTGTTATCGTTCACTACCTAAAGTGCAGACGCAAAATGGCAACATTAAGTCACGAGTCACCAAAAGCATGTTCAATATCTGTTTCAATCCGCTGGTTCTTAAAATTACATCAATTCGCTGTTCTTACATTTTTTAGTATACGATGCTTTTGGGTTGATAGTTACAAGACACAAAGGAGGAAAAAATCCATGACGATGTCCAGAACCTTTCGTAATAAAACCGATTATAATAATAAATGGTGGGGCTTGCGTTATAAATAACTTGGCCTAAGTCAAAACTTTGAAAGGATACCTCTTACAACAGAAAAATTGTCCACCTTTGTATGGCTTAGAATTTGTTGACATTTCTCTTTTTTGTTGCAGAATGCCATGAAGTTGTCACATCACCAATGGTGGGAGCAGTATCAGTATTAGAGAGAACAATAGAAGTGCTGCCATATTCAGCAGCAACATGTATTTGCTGTTACTATCAACTGTCATCGCGTAAACTACTTGCCGGCTCTTTCCTGACGAACCAATAGCCATTCCTTGCCAAACCACAGCCAACATGTCGACCACAAAGGTATATATTCTATTCTTTGCATATATTTTTTTTGATGATCACATTTATTTTGACTGAACTGATTTATTAATAAAGACATTTATATTTTGGTAAATATAACATCTGAAACTTATCATGTGGTTGTCATGCGGATAGAATACAATGTTAATATACTAAGTGACATATAAATCCGAACACCCAGTTTAAATGGTTTTATTTCAATAAAAGTTGGTGAATGTATTTATCTTACTGTAAATAACAAGTGAAAAAATTTTCAGCCTTATCAGTTGGACATTCCGGTTTTTATACTGCTTTTTTTTTAATTCACTAACGCTCTAAAAATGAATATTTCAGCCGCAGTAAAGAATCAACGTTGGCGGATTTTGGTTCTTGACATCCTTTACGATCGGTTACGATGCCTAGAGTACGGAGACCTGTACGATTTCGTCAACTTAGTGAGTTTGATAGGGGCCGTATAGTGGAACTTCGGGAAGCTGGACTTTCTTTTCGGGCAATTGAAGTTAGAGTGCAAAGAAGTGTAGACACTGTGGTTAGGTGTTGCCAGGCATGGCTTCGAGAAGGCCGTACGCAAAGAGCAAGGGGCACTGAACGCCGCCGTAGAACAACAGACCGTGAAGATCGCCGCCTAAGATTATTGGCCTTAAGGGACCGTTTCTCCACTAACAGGCCCATTGCAAATGAATGGTTTGCAGAACACGGAAGACCTATTGGCATGCGAAGTGTTTACCGACGAATGAGAAGTTTTGGCTTGTTTTCATACCGGCCACACTGGGTCCTCCCTTTAACTCGAGAACACCGACGTAATCGCCTTGAGTGGTGCAGACCACGGTCACTCTGGGAACAGGAATGGAACAGTATTGTCTTTAGTGACGAGTCTCGATTGTGTTTAGGCATGCACGATGGTCGTGCCAGGGCTAGAAGGCGACGTGGTGAAAGGAGGAATCCACAGTTTTTTGTTGAAATACATGTTCATCACAGTGTTGGAGTTATGGGGTGATATAGCTTATGGTTCCAGGTCACCTTTAATCTTCATCAGAGGTAACATGAATGCGCAGCGTTATATCCACGAAGTTCTAGAACCCCATCTTTTACCCTATCTTGACACCCTGGCAGATCCAACATTCCAACAAGATAATGCCCGACCACATGTTGCAAGAGTCACAATAGACTTCTTTCAACATAATGATGTCACATTGTTACCATGGCCACCAAGATCTCCCGACTTATCCCCAATTGAGCACGTGTGGGATATGATGGGTAGGAGATTGCTCAATTTGCACCGTCCTCCTCAGACTCTAGAAGCACTTCGAGAGGAGTTGGTGGTTGCCTGGAATGCGATACCACAGGAGAACATTGACCACCTGATCAGAAGCATGCCTAGGCGCGTTGGAGAATGCGTAGCACATCAGGGTGCATCCACACATTATTAAAGGTCAAAGGGCTTTAAAGCAGTGCAATCATTTTGAAATTTTTATCATTTACTTATTATGCTTCATTAAGTACTTATACAAAATTTTATTAAAATAAAACCATTTAAACTGGGTGTTCGGATTTATATGTCATTTAGTATACGTCAGTAAAAAGTAATTTCAATATAAATCAGATTTACGAGAAGTTTTCGTTAAACTTTGAAGTTTTGCAATTCAAAATTACTATTTTTTTGTCGCGAAACCCTTGGTGGAATCTGAAAACGGGGTTTTGGAGCTTACTATCGATCTTAGCAAGAAGAAACTGACATCAGAAACCGTTTCCAATTTATCCTCTATTTTTATCCAGACTTCAGATACGCGATTATTGATATTTATTTTAGAAATTGAAAGATTCACCAGTCAAAATGTCTATTTTTGTTCTCTGTGGGCATAGTTAATAATTATCTTGCGTATCTTGAAGATTCATTTTTGAACTGTTGTTTGAAATTTGTAGACAGTGGACGTATGTTTTATTTCGGCCTTCCATTGTCTATAAAATTTTTGAGATTTATTATCGAATCGATGGCACTTTAACGGACAGTCTCGGAGCCTTTTTGCACCAACGGGTCGTCGGCGATCTAGCTCTCTTCTACCGCTACGGTAAAAGGCTTTGCCCCTCAAGGCTCTCCCTCATGATGTCGCCGCGCGATGTACCTGCCAGACAAATCCGCCTGACTTCGGCCTCCCATCCTAACCGTGTCGAACTTCGTACATCCAGAAGTGACCGATACGACCGTTAATTTGTCCTTAGTGTATTGAGATTGTGGAACAATCTACCTGAGGAGGCTTTTTCCAGTTCTACTATCCTTAGACAGTTCAAAGATCGGATTAACATCGTTTCCTAAAAGCCCGGTATATAAAAAATTTCGACTATCAGATCTGATCTTCATTACCGATATCTATTCCAGACCTACTCAATCACCACACTGCACCTCCTACTACTACTCACCGTCTTCCAATTCGGACACTATCACTCGGTGTCCGCTGCCAATTCTCTGATCTCAACCTCGGAACGAGATGGCCCTTGCGAGGAAATCACCATTCCCATGTGCCTTGGCATCGGCTACAACATGACCAGGATGCCAAACGAGCTGAATCATGAGTCGCAAGAGGAGGCTGGCCTGGAGGTGCATCAGGTGAGTTAGCATTAGCTGGATTTTTATCATAATATCATTCGAGAAAATAAACCCACGCGAATGCGATCTCTTTCGTACTCGGTGACAAAAATCCCCAAATCCTGTTGACAAACGTACAATTTAGTATGGCTCTTTATCGCGTAATTTGTGATTAGTTTTGTTGATTTATTATCTGGTATATTCAGGCAACAACAACCAAAAAAACAAAGATGTTTCAAATTGGCAAGTGGAGGGTTATAACGATCATGCCACTGCTCTACAGTTTAAATTTAAATAGACGCTAAGAAATCATCTTATGGGGCGAAATGATGAGATTATTTTCAGATCACCAAATAGTTTTGTAATAGGGGACGTTCCATATATTGCTATTGCAGATATCCGCTAGGAGGATGGAATTTTCCTATTTGCAAAAATAATAAAATAAAAATAAAATCGATTTTTAACCTTAGGACCCTACACTATTTAAAATTAACAAATCTCATACATAGGAATTACGTGCACCCTAGTATATTACATTAATACTGTTGAGTGATTTTTTATCGTAGAACAGCATTTTTTTTATTCATGGCGCACAAGAGTATAAAATTAAGTGGTCTACACATATTTCAAAATAAATATAATTTTACCTGAAAAAATGCAATTATAAACATTTTGTTTACAATTTCAGTGTTTGGTACTGAAGAAAAAGGTCTAGATAATACCTGAAAAATTCAGGAATTAAAAATTCTAAGGTCATCAGACTTTTTGCAAATGATCTTTGTTATGTATTTCCAAGATGTTTACATCTTTGTTATAATAAAAAAGTCTGAAAAATTTGGGAAAATTATACTTGTATTAGAGTAAACAAGGTGTCCCGAAAAAAGTGTGCAATATTCTACCAGCGGTTTCTAGAGCTTAAATTAGGAAGAAAAGCTTATATAAACATAGGTCGACAAACGTCCCATAAGGGCGCTACCGTCTTTTAAAGGGGCTCCCCTGGAGATGGTTTTTCCTTAATATTTCCGAAACGTGTTGAGATAAAGACATAAAATTTGGTATTCTAGCCTAGTTTTTTATGCTGGATTTAAAAATATTAACAATTTTAGACAGTTTTGTTTGGAAGACTCAGGTTATTAAAATTTTTCTGTGATTCTATTTTTGAAATTAAATTTTAGAATTTGAAAACTTAGGGTTTTCTACAGTAAAAAGGTACTCTTATTGAATATCGATAAATTATGCCATTTTTAAATAAAATCAAACTAAAGAATTTGTCACATGATAGGAAATGTACTGCGAATTTAAATGAATTGTTGATTATGCATAGTTAGCCATGACTGCAAAAAAAAAGTTGTTTTGATTTGTTATGACTTATTTTGACGTTAAGCTGACATTGTTAGCAGTGTAAAATTAGTAGTTTATAATCAAAATTTTTATTAAATCGATTTAAAATGCCAAGATTTACAGACAGAGAACTGACTTACATGCATTTTGTGTACGGGTTTTGCAATAGCAGTTCATTCGCAGCCGTAAGAGAATATCAAAGAAGATTTCCCAATTGCATAGTACCTGGACGTCGAATGTTTACTGATATTCATCGGAATTTGTCAAACCATGGAAGTTTTCAGCGCATGCAGGGCTCAGGAAGGCCACTGGGAAATCATCGTATGGATATTGCTTTAAATATGTTTGAAAATAATCCGCAAATAAGCATACGAAATGTTTCAGAAAATATGGATATACCTCGATCAATAGTAAGAAAAATTTATGAATACCTATTTGATAGTTATCCTAAAAATAATAATTTTAGATAGAAAGAATGACAAGAATGCAAGGATTACATCCTTATCATTTTAAACGGGTGCAGCATTTAACGGAGGCAGATTTTTTACCACGAATCGAGTTTTGCCAGTGGATATTAGCAAATGAAAACACTATTCCTAGAATATTATGATAGAATGAGTCAATTCTTACTAGGAATTGTGCTTTTAATTTCCATAACTGGTCAGATGAAATTCCAGAAGTTGTTCGCCGTACAAATTTCCAACATAGATTTTCAATGAACTTATGGGCAGGAGTAATTGGGGATCAAGTAATTGGGCCTATTGTACTTCCCAATCGTCTTAATTCAGAGGTGTGTCTGAACTTTCTTCAGAATGAGCTCATGGCTATAATACCATTGGATGTGCGCCAGCTGTTTCAAGAAAATATGTTTTTTCAACATGATGGCGCCCCTGCACATTTTGGACGCAATGTTCGAAATTGAATGTCAGTTTTCCAGACAGGTGGTTAGGCCGAGGAGGTCCTGTATCGTGGCCGTCACGTTTACCTGACCTAAATCCATTGGATTTCTATTTTTGGGGGTCATTAAAAGACCTAGTTTACTCGACTGAAGTAAATACTCAAGAATATTTACTTCAAAGAATCCATCAGGCTGCAAATGAAATAAGAAGAAAAAGGTCTTCCACTTTTCCGGCTACGCAATCATTAGTTCGTCGAGCGAGACTCTGTATCCAACAAAATGGGAATTTATTTGAACACTTGTTGTAAAGCTAGTTTTAAGTATATCCATCTGTATGTCTTCTTTTTTAAACAAATTTCAATTTCGTTCGTAGAAAAAAGTTATTTCTTTTGTTTTTGTCTAAATGTTAGCTATGTTGCAATAGAAATATGTATTTATGTAATATTTACCAATTATTAAATTAGTTTTTTCGTTGTTATGGCTAATTATTCAACAATTCATTTAAATTCGCAGTACATGTCCTATCATGTGGCAAATTTTTTAGTTTGATTTTATTCAAAAATGGCACAATTTATCGATATTCAATAAGAGTACGTTTTTTATGTAGAAAAACCCTAAATTTTCGAATTCTAAAATTGAATTTCAAAAATAGAATCACACAAAAAATTTGGGGCTCAAATAACCTGAGTCCGTCCCTGTTACATACGCTTCCAAACAAAACTGTCTAAAATTGTTAATATTTTTAAATCCAGCATAAAAAACTAGGCTAGAGTACCAAATTTTATGACTTTATCTCAACACGTTTCGGAAATATTAAGGAAAAACCATCTCCAGGGGAGCCCCTTTAAAAGATGGTAGCGCCCTTAGGGGACGTTTGTCGACCTATGTTTTTATAAACTTTTCTTCCTATTTTAAGCTTTAGAAACCGCTGGTAGAATATTGCACTTTTTTCGGGACACCCTGTATAGAGTAGAGTGAAATGGAAGTTATTACGGAGCTAATTAGTTTTACATAAAAGTTTGTTAAATAGCTGGTGCGCACTGCACTGAACGGTGATTTCGACAGTGCAGCAATCGACATTTTGAGCATAATATACTTTGTTTTCTTGTCCTCTTTTCGAGGAGAAAAAGCGCAGCACACTTGCATATCTATCATCAGGCTGATCGATAGAAAATTCTGTAACTACCCGTTCAATCTGTGTATGTAATAATAGAATTAAAGACTTAGCAGGCGTAACAAAAATGGATGGACCAAATTCTGTGTATCTCTTGGACCTGGCATGTTCTCGATCGTGAAAAATGATATAAATAACTGGTGAATTGATAATCATGTTTATCAAAAATAATAGTTTAGATTGTCATATATATACAAAAAAGTGAAATGTAACAAAAATAGTAGGGTTGCGCTACCAACCACGTTTTAAAAATATTCATTGTGTCATTCTGACAATAAAAGGTTTTCTGTACATCGTTCTGCTTTAAACAAGTCCACCTCCTACTGCAATATATGACGACCCTGCCACTAATCCAGTCAAAACTACACTGCCGAAACAATTTAGTGGGGTTTGAAAAACCCTTGTGTATGGTCGTAGGGTTAAATTCCTAAAATGTTATTAAAAGAAATACATCCGTATAACAATTCTCCAAGTATACTAAGTGACATATAAATCCGAACACCCAGTTTAAATGGTTTTATTTTAATAAAAGTTGGTGAATGTATTTATCTTACTGTAAATAACAAGTGAAAAAAACTGTGGACTCCTCCTTTCACCACGTCGCCTTCTAACCCTGGCACGACCATCGTGCATGCCTAAACAAAATCCAGACTCATCATTAAAGACAATACTGTTCCTTTCCTGATCCCAGAGTGACCGTTGTCTGCACCACTCGAAGCGATTACGTCGGTGGTCTCGAGTTAACGGGAGGACTCAGTGTGGCCGGTATGAAAACAAGCCAAAACTTCTCATTCGTCGGTAAACACTTCGCATGCCAATAGGTCTTCCGTGTTCTGCAAACCATTCATTTGCAATGGACCTGGTAGTGTTCTGTTGTTCTACGGCGGCGTCCAGTGCCCCTTGCTCTTTGCGTACGGCCTTCTCGAAGCCATGCCTGACAACACCTAACCACAGTGTCTACACTTCTTTGCACTCTAACTGCAATTGCCCGAAAAGAAAGTCCAGCTTCCCGAAGTCCCACTATACGGCCCCTATCAAACTCACTAAGTTGACGAAATCGTACAGGTCTCCGTACTCTAGGCATCGTAACCGATCGTAAAGGATGTCAAGAACCAAAATCCGCCAACGTTGATTCTTTACTACGGCTGAAATATTCATTTTTAGAGCGTTAGTGAATTAAAAAAAAAGCAGTACAAAAACCGGAATGTCCAACTGATAAGGCTGAAAATTTTTTCACTTGTTATTTACAGTAAGATAAATACATTCACCAACTTTTATTAAAATAAAACCATTTAAACTGGGTGTTCGGATTTATATGTCACTTAGTATATTTGGTCTGAGCTACACTCGGCACATTCACCATTTTTGCGTATAGGACAAACTTCCTGCGCCTATTTCTCAGAAACTAATCATAGGATTGCTTTGGTTCGATCAGACCTTTGTTCAGAAAAGCGAAAAATATATCGTACTCAATTTTTAGACAAATCCACTGGGATTCATTTTCCATATGTCTTGTGCAGGGTACTTTCGTAGATCAATCTGAGATTTTAGTTATTTTATTTAGAAGTGAACCAAACTTGATACATCAGGATAATTAGGGACGCTGAT